AAGTTCTGACCTCAACCTGATGCCTGGCACTTTTTACCTGCCTGACATCTGATTTCTTTTCTCTGCTGAGAGGACTCAGTCTTCCTCTGTGGGACCTGCTCCAGCCCACTCTCACGCCACTGGTTCAGGCTTAGCCACATGGCCAGGGCCCACAAGGATGGGTAAGGATCAGAACCGAGACCTCATTGGAGAAAAACAAGTCATGAAACGAGGGAGGAATATGTGTGCTTGGGACTTTGAAAAAGCAGTTTTTTCTCTGTTCTGTAGAAAAGAGAGGAAAAGCTTCTGTCCTTCTGTCCACGAGGAGGGCCATCAGGGGCCACCAGAAGCCTAGTTTCAATGTTGTGGAAAGCAGAGGAGAGAGAGAGAGAGAAGCTAGGTGTTTGGTTTGAGCTCCTGGATCAAGCCATGCCAGAAGGACACTGACTCAGAATCTTTGCTTTAGCAGCACAAAATAGGGTCCTGTTTGAAGCACAGGTGAGATGTTTTGTTTCTTCTAAGTGATTTAGACTTTTATGTTCTAAAATCTGTTTCTTACATAGCTCTGGGAATGTCCAACATGCTTCCTTAAACCTGTCATATTATCCCATAATACTTGAGATAATTGTTCTTTTAATGCCATGTTCCCTTTTCAATGCACACACACACAGACACACGCACAGCATCAGGAAGGAGGTGAAAACAGGTGGCAACGCCGCGCAATGTTTTAGAATTGTTGCAGCCACTTCAACATGAGTTCGATCCCCGGCCAGGGAGCTGACCCACAGGGCACAGCAGACCTCTCCTGTCTCCCCGCTGTTCCTCTCAGCAGTGTATATCAGACAGTGTATCTGTTCTGCTCCCCACTGTCTCTGGTGAATCTGCTCGCCACCCCTGCATCTCCCACCTGTACCCCAGTTTTGTAAGCATAAATAAATAAGTCTTTAAAAAAAAATTGCTGCACAAAGCTACTTGAAAGTAGGCATGGAAAACCCGACAACGGCAGGTCCCCCTGCAGCTCCCGGAGCACCACGGCTCACCAGTGTTCCCCGCTGATGAAGACAACTTGGCCTGGAACATGCTGGAGCTGTCACGGCACTGACTGGGGCAGGGAAAACAGTGGGTCGTGTCCCAGCAGAAAGCAGCGCAGGGCAAGCTGGAGAGAAGCAGATCCTGGAGCAATCTAGAAAAATAGGTTGTAAAGCAGTGAGAACCATCTACTTGGGGGTTTAAATAAGCCCCTTGTGCAAAAACAAAATAAGATGAAAGCAAAAAAGAAGGAACATAAAAAAAATCAACATGACAACAAAAAAGGAAACAAAAATTAAATAAATTCAGCAGGTGAGATAGAGACATGGCTCCCTAAGCGGAGCCCCCCAGAGCCCTTGGGAGGGTGTCCCGGGGAGCACTGCTGGGGAGCACCACCCCTTAGGGCCATCCTGCTGAAAGGAAGCAGCAGGAGTAGATTTCATAAGGGGTCATTCTGCTGTGCACCTAGTTGGTACCTCCCGGATCAAGCATCAGGGCATTCTGCATAACCTTGGGAATATGATGCAGATAAAGGAAAAAGTGGCCCTCCCCAGTGGCTCAGCCCGTTAAGGCGCAGCCCTGCAAGCTGGCCACAGCTGCTTCAGTGCAGGCTAGATCCCCGCCCAGGGAGCTGACCCACCTGGTGCAGCAGACCTCTCCTGACCCTACCCCCACCCGCTGCCCCCCTCAGCAGTGTACTTCCTCAATTTGCCTGTTCTGCTCCCCACTGTCTCTGGTGAATCCTCATTGTCCCTGACCTCTGGCCTGCACCCAAGTTCTGAATGCATAAATATTTATTTTTTTAAAAAAGAGGAAAATGAAGACCATATTGTGAAGAGAACTTCTCAAGAAACACAGCAGTAATAAATAAAAAGAAAATCGGGGGAGAAGAGTCGAGAATGGTCAAGGGAGGAAGTGTTTGCCAGGCTCAAGCTGGGTGTGCTCACGGAGGGGCAGGAGGGAAGGGAGGACTAGGCCTCTCACAGGCTGTCCCTCCTGCCCTGCTTCCTCCAGGAGTTCCTAGGCCCCCTCCTAACTGGACTGCCTGTCACTCCTTGTCTCCACTCGCTTTCTTCTGTGTGAGCAGTCCACATCCGTTTCAGCTTGGATCCGTTCACCAGCCCTGCCTGGGGCCCGCGAGGCTCAGGCCCAGAGAGCGCCCATGACTTTGACAAGCTGGCTTCCAGGAGGGTCTGGCAGGAAGCAGGGTGATGCCCAGCCGTGCACCCATAAAATGAAATACCAAAGCGACCTGGCATCGGAGGCACAGGGGGTAAGGGACGAGTGCTGTGGTGATTTCACGCTTGAGATAAGGGGTTGGGGGGGGCAGAGAGGGTTCATCAGGAGAGGCCAAGCCTGTGGCTGGAGAAAGCGCCAGAGCAGGGAGCAGCAGCTGGTGAATAAAAAGGTCCCGCACCCCCTTGCACGTTGCTGGGCGCTTGAAGCTGGTTATTCCACGTAGTAACCCCAGACAGAGACAAACTGCTTCCCTTCCCCCTCTGTTCTCTCTCTCTCTTCCCCTTTCCCTTTCCCGGAAAAGAAAATGCCTCGTCCAGACCAAAGGCACTCAAGCTCGCGGGGACCAGTGCGGACCGGAAAGGCCAGCTGAGCCCCGGCGTCTTCGTGTCCCAATCTGACCTCGCTCCCGCCCAGCCGCGCAGGTCAGGGGCGGCG